TTTGTTGTGTGTATTAGTAAAGGTAAAATTGATTAAACTATACAGATTAATAGCTTTATTTCATGAACACAGCATTGATCATCAAAAAGGGGTGAAAGTAGTGGTATTTTTGGAGATTCTGTTCAGGAGTAACTGCCCACTCACTGACACTCAAGATTATGTTGATATTGATGTAATGGTAACTTGGTTGCATGGTGTATGCCTTCATTCTATAGATTTAAAGTCCAAGAAGATGATGTATGTAACAAAAAAGGTTTTCCTCTCATTCATTGCTTTAATATGTAGAGTGTCTAAACCACAGTCATGAGAGAAATTATATTGTTTGTACATGTGTAAGATTGAAAATTGTATATGCTACTGTGGAAATTCAAGGGAAACCCAAAGTCATTTCATGTATATCTAAACTACCATACTTCTAGTATGTGGTAAAGTTATGCTAGGGTTCGCTTAGCTTCCAAGACTAGTGGATTTAAAGCCTTTATAGCTCTATTGGTAAAACACTAGACTTGCATGTCAGAGGTCCTAGGTTCAAATGAAAATATTAAGACTGATACTTTAAATTCTAAATATATGTGACAAATTTATTTTCACTTAATTTTCAAGAGGTACACCCTTCACAAAGTAAAATTACTTGCTTTTACAGTGTATTTTTTTAATTGTTTAAATATATAGTATACATATTAAAACTGTTGATGAACATTCCAATTGCAAAATCATGTTGTTGCAATTTGACATCAATGAGGACTATTGTAATACCGTACTCACATAGATAAGGAATATAACAGTGTGATATTTGTATATATAAATGAATACAATGACTGATTGAAAGAACTTGAATAAATATTTTGATATAACTAACTGATTTAAACTTGACCAGAACAAGCAGATTTTGATTAGCTAGTGACTCTAAGTTAGCAGCTTTACCATACCTAGAAATACATGTAAAACTACATGTAGTATGTCGAGTGTGTGTATATACACAGGCAACAATATTATTTCTTCTCTGTGAAGATCTTCTTTAGAAATTACTGGTCATTTGACAGAGATATATTTGTATTTTTACCAGAAAAAGGTGAATTTGTAAACTCCACATTTTTTTTATACATAATAAACAAATTTCATGTCAATGAACCATTTATTTTTTCATGCTGTAAAATATTAATGAGCTAAAAACAAACTTGATGCTTAAAAAGTTTTCCTCTTCTTAGATTTCCAAATGAAGAGGTTTTATGTATCTAGACATGCAACATTTAAACCACCAATCAATTAGTTATGGAAGATTCAGCCATAAGAGAAAATGCAATAATCAATTAAGTTTCATTAGGCTATATCAATGAAAATTTTTTTTAAACTAAATACACTTTTATTGAACCCTTCTCATCAAATTTTGAACAGTATGATTTGGTTTAAATAATGAAAAGTATTCTCCCCAAGTCCTGGAATACTGCACTGAGAATCAGTATAGTGTATGTGAAAGTTTACTAATTCTCATAATTCATGGTGAAATGATCCAATCTTTGTGCAGATTATTGTAAAATCTCATTTTTTGGAACTGCATGGGATTGGTCCAACATGACGTAAAGCATGGTCTCCTAAAGATTCATCAGCACACGCCTCATGGTATTGATTTATTGGAAGGGAACACACTAATACACTTTCATCTATTCTCCAAAATCATCGATAACTACAAACTTCATATCATCAGATTCTTAATGATAAACTGTAGGAATTATGATTTCTCTTGAATTGTAAGTATTGGGCAACTCTAAATGTATTCAAATGTATGATTTTTGGAGCTTTTGTTAATATTTAGTTTTGTTGTTTGTCCTTATGAAGGTCAAGTGTTGATTATTATGCTTGCTTGCATCTCCATCAATAACTGTCTCACAATGGCATCTCTTCTTGGTGTGTTGTGTGGAGATGATGAGAATTCACACAGTTTGTATTAAATATTCATTTATGCTGTGGTACTTAATGGTGTATATGAACATAAAAAATTAATGCAAGGAAGTAACTTCTCTGGGTGTTAATTGGGTTAAATCTCCATATTGGGGTATCTGTAAGTATTCAACAGATTCCATAGCAGTTTAAGGTAGAGAAGAAAAAAACTGAGAACCATTACTTAGCGGTGATGTATAGAAATTTCAGGTTTAATTCTATAATCATGCAGCTTGAACAAATATACCAGAAAAGACACCCCTTGCCTTTTGACTCTAAAAAGGATTTACAAATATATAACAGAGAGTAAGATTTTAGAATAGGCTGAGTTTTTGCCCAAATGCTTGTCCATTGAATAATTAAGTTTATCAATGCCTGCAAGTCTTTTTTGGGGCCCTAAGTACCTCCATGGAAGGAGGATAAGGGAAATAACTTTTATTAAGAAGAATATGTCTGTGAGTCTTTTCTTAAAGATTTTCATCGTTATTTTGCCTATAGATTAATTTTTTTAGAATACCTAGAGAATATGTGTTGTACAGAACATGCAGAAAGTCCATTTTACAGATTCAGAAAGATAACAAAGTGGGATAACAATGGGAGAGGACTACCTAAGTTTTAGAACTTGTGTCCAATCCCTTTGACATATTGTCAATAAAATATATATGTTCAAAACAACAACAACAAAGTGGAATATGATGGAGTGTAATGTATTTACCAGAAATTGGGAAACATTTTACATGAATGATTTACTCTTGTGACTGGTACCAATTTTCTCATCAAATTAAAAAATTCTGTACTCTTTGCTTACTCTTCCATTGCTGTATATAGTTTTATTACTATTCTTGAATTACTGGTAAATTTAATATTTATGCTATCATTTTATTCAATTTTGGCCATTAATTGAATACTCATTAGATGAGGTTAGAGAAAAAAGCTTGCAGAAAATGGAATGGGGCCTCAATCACATTAATTCTTTAATGTTTTCTAAAGGCTGAAATCAATCATATGACTACTGCATCTACGTTCTCTACCCTCAGTAGACCTAGCTCTTTAGAGACATTGATTCTGTTTTATTTGCATCCAAAGACTTGTCCATGATCAATTAACACATGGTCTATATGTGGTCTGCAATCAATGGAAAGCATTGAATAACTTCACTCGCTCAGAGCAATTTCTGTTGAATGTGCACATCAGTAACTATAGTAGGATAAATTTCTACCATTTAGTCTAGGCAGGTTAAAATCTTAATAACATTTAGGTATTGAAAGAAGCCTTCCATGTGTGTGTCCATTAAGCCTGAAAATAGGTATGAAGATGGCAAAAGTACAAAGCATGGCAATTTTTAACTGTATGTAAAATTCAATGAATATTGGTTAAATTTTTGTTTGTATTGATATTAATGATAGTACAGTGTATTTCAAGAAAAATAAAGCAAAAATCAGATATTTATCAGATGCGGTCATTTACTTGCAGTATAAATTTTAAATTTTGATTTAGTTTCTAATTTTGTATGCTGTATGAGTAAGATTGACTTCAAGGTACTCAAGTTTTTTGGGGGGTGGAAATGTTTGTTTAAAAAATAAATCCTTGACCTTCTTCCACAGAACTGCTAGGCAAATAGTCAGTCATCTGAAAATTAATGCAATTATCTCAAGCGGATTCGTATTATGTCATTTCAATTTTGTGTCCACCTCCCACTTTATCAGCTAGTCATTTAGGGGCCATGAAAGTGGTAACAGGAGAGATTCAGATGTGAATACATAAGAATGTAGCAAGACTCAGTGAATTGTTAAAGTGGCTATATGTAGGCATCAATATAAAATATTTCTGACTAAAACTGTCAAAAACAGGATCTTTTGTTAGAAATTTGGTTAATTAAGGGTTTCATTTACTTGCGGTATAATTACCTATACATCATATACATAGTCATGATCAATGTAAAAAAGTTTGGAGATTGTTTAAATTCTGAGAATGTTGACACAGATGTGGAAATTTCCTAGCAATGATTGAGAACATGTGTCTTGTTGGATATGGAATAAGATGTTTATAAAATCTCTTATTACAGCATGACCTTGAATATTGTGAAACTGTTCCATTTAATTAAAAAAAAAAGAAAAACAACGAAAGGACTGACCTTCAACTGTATCCAGGGTTTCACCGATTATTGACCATCAAAAAACAGGTTATACACAGATGGTAGATTTTGGTGACTGATCTCAAATTTCTAAGGGAATGATTTAAATGAAATGCACAGATAAAATAATCATTGCATACAGTATTGTTTAAATTCTGTTTTGTGTTGATTAGTGTATCAGTCCATTTCCTATTCACATATATGTATTTAACTTCTTATTTTCCACCAATAATAAGTTGATTAGGTAGATTAGCCTTTGAATTACCATTTATAAAGTTCTCACTAATTTTTCATTCAAAAGTTTCACAAATCTGGGATTTTAAGTGACAAAAAGTTATATAGATTAATAAGGTAACAGGATTGCAGTAAGGTAGAATTTGAACATCATAGCGAGTTTACATTTTCTTAATATAGTTGAACTTCAGTATATCGAACACTGATATCTCAAATACCATCGATGTGTCGAAGTGATTTGGAAGTCCTTACTACTTATTCTTTAAGTATTTTAACCTCGATATCTTGAATCCTCGGATATCTCGAAGTATTTTCTCTGTTCAATCGAGTTTGAGATAACGAGGTTTGACTGAATTTTGAAATTTATTACTTGCATCATTTACAACCAAAATAGGTTGAAAAATATATACCAATCTAGGCATCACTTTTTTTGTTTGTATCATCTGTCCTTAATGTGATAAGTTGAATTTGAGGTCAAAAGGTCAAAGTCCATGCAAAATTGGAAATTCATATATGGCATAAAATGTTTTCAGATTATTACTTTTTCATAAAACTGTACATGTTTTTTTAAGGTTTTTTTAAAAATGTATTTATATGCAATTGGCTTTGTATAATCCACAATTTGACAACATTTTTTATACAGTTAACAGTAACAGCTACATGTATTCTGTTATTCCAGATAATGAACTGAGGCCAGAAGGGAGACCTCACATAGCTGGTATGGAACTGAATTCACAGCTTAACATGTTGTAAGACAGTTTTCCTCAAGTATTATTGGAACAGTAAGATCCTCGTGTTTATAAAGAAAATGCAAACACTTACAGATACTAAAGGATGTTACGAACAGTTGAGGATGTATAATTAAAATTTTGACCATTGACTTGTTCTAACTAATACATGTATTGCCTTATTAGCTCACCTGGGCCAAAGGCTCAAGTGAGCTTCTCTGATCACATTTTGTCTGGCATCAGTCTGACTGTCCACCTGGAAACTTTTCACATTTGTATTTCATTTGTATCTCAGGTAGTGTAGATTTTAGTTTGTTCAAAACATGTCTCTTAGGGGTAGGGTGGGGTCATAATGGGTGATTTAAGTTTGATATAGGAATATATATGGAAAAGAACCTTATAAATCTTCTTCCCAAGAACAGCAGAGGCATATTGTGGAAGAATTCTCAGGTAGTGTAGATTCAAGTTTGTTTAAATCATGACCCACAGGGGTAGGGTGGGGCTACAATAGGTGATCAAAGTTTTACAAGGGAATATATTGGAAAAATCTGTTAAAACCTTGTTCTCGGAAACAATTGGGCCAGAAGAGTTGAAACCTATGTAAAAGCTTCATTACAATTAGTGTAGTTTTGAGATTGTTCAAATAATGACCCATGGGAGAAGGGTGGGGCCACAATGGGCGATCAGAGTTAAACAGAGGAATATATTGGAAAAAATCTTTACAAATCTTCTTCTCATGAACAGCAAAGGCATACAATATTGATGTGGAAGCATCCTCAGGTAGGGTAGATTCAAGTTTATTCAAATTATGATTCCTGGAGTAGGGTAGGGCCACAATAGACAATCAAAGTTTTAGATAGGAATATATATATAGAGATATATATAGAGATAAAATTTAATGATGATGAAAAGTAGAGCTATATTGACTCAGGTGAATGAGCTTCTTGTTGGATTTGGTACCTTGTATCAGATATTTATACTGGCTTTCCCTATGTAGGGGTTCATCCATTGGCTTTGTTACAACTATGATCTTGAAATAAGCCCACATATTTGTGATGTTTTCATTATTTGTAGACGAATTTGTAAGTTGTTTAAGATAGAAATCATACACGGGTTATGTATTTTTTCTGCAACAGCTGTGACATTAATTCCTGTACTAACAACCAAAGAAAGCATTTTGTTGTTCAAGTTATGTCGAATGAAAAAAAGAAAAAAATAGCTGTGACGTTAATTCACGTACTAACAAACAAAGAAAGACATTTTATTGTTTATATTTATATCTGCATGAAAAAAGACATTCAAAGTAAAATTAAATATGTTAAATATTGTATTAGAGATGTGTATGTCATAGTATGCATAATTGATGGAACAGCCTTTGCTCAAGAAATCAATGCAGGTGGCTAGCTTAGTGTCGTTTACTGACTGATGAACGGCAATGGTTTTCATAAGAAATAAAGGAAATAATATTCAGTGGATGTAAATATTTTTTAATAAACAGATTGTAGATTGTTTGTGATCAGATTTTACTTAATGAAGCATATTTCCTTATTATTTCTCAAACCATACCATTTGGAGTTAGAAAAAAAGATTATGGGATACCTCAGTCTCTAGTTCTTGTTTGAATTGAATAGATCTGACATTTCAGTGGGAAAATATTGCTGAAAAATAAGTTAGAAATTAAAAGAATTATTAATATTTATCTTTTCAGTTTATCTTAGCTGAATGTTTAAGTGAGATTTTTTTATCAAAGTTGAAAAGTTGTTTGTCCATCTTCTATCTGTCTTTTCACTTTCAGGTTTTTTACTTCTTCTCCAGATCTAATACCTTATGGATATTTTTCAGTCAAAGTTGCCATTTTTCATTAAAGGAGATTTACCCGGTAGTTGTTTTCAAATGAAGGACACATCCCTTCACAGGGAAGATAATTAGTGGAATCTTAAGGTGGGGTAATATTTATAAGTTAGTTTTCTTTCCAATAACCATTAATCAAGGAAAAACAGGAAGAAAAAAAACTCGCAAGAGTTTCCATATAAATTGTAGATTAAAATTTATTCAAGTTGTGATGTTGGTGGCTCATATGAGGCCACATCAGGGGTTAAAGTCTTACAGAGAAAATACAAGGGACATTCAATTAGTAATTTTTAATGCAACATACAGTTTATCATAATAAATGTAGAAGTATTTTGTTTTATTTTTTAACAGTTGAAAAATTCTATTAAGGAACCCCTAATCACAGAAAACGTACCGCATGCTTTTTCCTATTGTTTTCACAAAGGAATTCACATTTAAAGTAAGCATGGTCACTACACTGAGCTAATAACTGTTTAAAAGTGACCTCTGCCAAGAAGATGAAAATGAGGGCGTATGTGAAAACTGTGCTTCATTACATAAATAGCTGAAGAACCAATATTAAAGATATGATTTTAATATGTAGGAAGAATAGTCTTTTACGCTGTATAGTTTTCAGATGGATTTGGAAATTCAAAAGTAAAAAAGTACAAGTAAAAGATCGCAGTAAAACTGATCAATCGAAATCTGTAGGGGCACCAAAAATATCAATGCTGTGAGCAACATATCTGTAAATGCCAAATTAACATTGATAGATATTGCTAAGACGCTAAACATTTCATCGTTTAAACAGTTTATAGAGTTCTGACAAATGAAATAAATCTAACAATAATTCTATTAGATGGGTACCTTATTTCCTTACAAATGCTTAAGAGAAAACACACATTAAATGGCCCAATGGTCTATATAAAAAAAGAACATTTTTACAAAAAAAAAAGATATGATAAACTTGAGTGACAGATGTCGTAACATGGGTGAAATTTTTTATAACTGAAAAGGAAGATCAAGAATAAAATGTAGAATCAAAGAGGAAGCTGTTGTCTTATTATTGCAAAGAGAAGCAAGGGCTCCAAATATGTTTTATAAATTTTCTTTTTATTCAAGAGTTCAGTAAAACACATGCACACAACCAAAGGAAGGACTATCAATGGTAACTTTAATGTTAAAGTTTCACTTAGGAAAGTTAAGCAGATTTCTTGCAAAGCAAGTCCAAATACCAGTCCTCAGGGTATTTTTCTGTACCTAACAATGCTGCTGCAAATAAGCATAGAGAAATAAATAAAATTTTGAAGAAAAGTAAGTTTACAAAGCTTAGCCATCCCCCAAATCTGCTAGATCTCAGACCTTATGAGATATTCCAAAAACATATCATCTTGTCTTGAATTTGAAGAAGGGAGGGCATATTACTTTGCTGCTGTCTGTAGGTCGGTCGTTCTGTCGGTCCACCAACAGTTTCCGGTCATTTTCTTCACCTGCGGTTGCACATACTGAAATGAAATTTGGTATACAGATTTATCATAAGAATATCTAGGTCAAGGTCTGTTTTGGGTTCGATTGAGCAATATTTGACAAAGTTATGCCCCTTAAACTTAAGAAAATTCCAATTATTTGCATTTCCGTTCATATTCCTCACAGAGGTTGCAAATACTGAAATGAAATTTGGTATACAGATTTATGATCATAAAAATATTTAGGTCAAGCTCTTTTTTTGGGTACGATCAAGGAATTTTTGACAGAGTTATGCCTCTAGGACTTCCAATTATTGGGGGGGGGGGGCATAAGTGTTTCACAAACATCTCTTGTTTTTATAATAAAAATAGAAATTTAAAATTGTAAACAAAAATAGTAATGCAACTGTGTCCAGGCCCCTTTAAGGACTGCCACTGCACACTGAAGAGTTCTAATTCCATGGTTTTTTTTTTTATAAAGTTTCAGTGATTTGCCCTTTGAAATAATGAATTGAAATCTACTAACAGGATATTACTCAATTTGTTATCAATTCAAGCACACTTAACATTTTTTAGGCCAGGGTGAATTAATTGAATTCTTTATTTGCACGTATTTTCCCCATTTAAAAAGCAACAGTGAATTCTTTACTTCATTGTCTTTGAACATTTTTCCTTGGAATAAATGGCCGATTTTCTTTGTTGAAAATGAGAAATGTGTAATAAACTGTAATTTACTCAATGTCTAAAAACATTTTTCATGTGTGTAAAGAGGATACTAAAAGTAGGTTGAGGATTTTCCTTTAAATTCATGGCCAACCACGGCTTTGGTAGCACCAAAGTTTTATGTAGGATTTGACAGGAGGAAAAATTATTTAAGATTCCACAACAAAACTGTAAGGCCACAATTAATTAGGGACCCACTCTGCAGCTGCCTTTTAGTGATTAGTCTGTCCATCCATCTGTCCAATTTCATATGGCTGGAGTATATTTTCTTTCCCCTTGGCACAGTCAGGCTCAAATTTCATCCACAGATTGCCTTGGGTAGAAGTGCTATCAGCAGTGACCTGAACCAATTTTCTAGATAAAATGTCAAGGTCAGAAAATCTCTGTGTGTAAAATCCTTGCCTGGACCTTATTTTCTATCCCCCTTGGCCCTACCTCAAACTTCACTCACAGAGAATCTATGAGTAGAGGGTGTACAGTGACCTTGAACCAATTTTGTGGATCAGAAGTGAAGTTCGAAAAACCTGTCTTTGTAATTCAAAAAACCTGTCTTTGTAATATCCTTGTCCAGAGCATATTTTCTCTCCCCTTGGCCCAGTTGGCCAGTTAGGCTCAAACTTCACTCATAGAGATCTAGTGGTCATGTGCGATGACCTTGAACCAATTTTCTAGATCAAAGACAAAGGTCAAAAACCTCTGTTTAAAGTCTTTGTCCGGAGCCTATTTTCTTTCCCCTTTGCCCATTTGGGCTCTTACTTTATCCATAGAGTGTCCATGGGTAAAGGGTGTGCATGACCTTGAACCAATATCTATAGATGAAAGGTCAAAGTCAGAAAACCTCTTTTTGTTAAATCCTTGTCCAGAGCATATTTTCTCTCCCCTTTGCCCTACCTGGCCCTAACTTTACCCATAAGAGTGCCAATGGGTAGAAGGTATGCATTGTCCAACTTTTTAGCTTAGTGGACAAGGTTATAGCAAATCTCTGTAAAATTCTGTTCTTGTATATTTTTGGCCTCATCTTGGTCAACTTCACCCAGAGAATGCACATAGATAAAGGGTCTTTCATGCTAATGTCCTATGCATAAGGAGGGTCATTTTGAGATAGTCACCATCTCAATGATGTCTTGTTAAACTTACATACAAACATTCCAAATTTTCTGGAATCATGGCCCCTTAAGCAAGGGTTAAGAAAAGGGGTTTCAGGTAATTATAAAGCATTTCATTCATAGGCCTTTATTTTGTAAATTTATGATATGCATGCATGAAAAGTAAATCATGTTTTTCTGCAATCAGTGCTTCTTTTTGTCTATCAAGCTGTGTTAAATCCTTCATCAAAGATCAATAAGAGTTATCTTGGGGAGAACTTTGCTGTAAATAGCTAAGTTAGATGTCTCCCTCTGTGTAGAACAACTGTCCTTTGTGCCACAGAGAGTGAAGTGTTCATTAATCAATAATGTTAGATAGATGTAATTGGTTTTCTGCATCTTACATAATCATTGTTTTAAAATGGCAAAGGAAATTGATCTTGCCCATTATCATAATGGGTATTAGAAAGGAATTGTTAACATTGATGTAAAAAGAGACAAAATTGCAACATATTCAGATTTGCACAATATTTTGAAGCTTTTGTATCTTTAACTTGGTGTAAAAGGTGACTATCCTAAGGAAGAAGGTAATGTTTTCATTACTTAAAAAAAAATTCAGCAAATTTTATGTCCACATTTAATCTGTAGAATCTGAAAGGAAGCATAAATTGTGTAGAGATTATTTTCATTGTTATTAGATATGAAAAAAACAAAAACAAACTTGTCAAGATTCAGCGATTTTCATGTCTGCTGAGAAACTGTAAATCATCTCCGCTGAATGTAGGGTAATTATTGGATTAGAATCTGTAGGTCTAGAAGCCCATTAGATCCTGATGCATTTCATGCAAGGATGACTTTAGAGCTGTTTCTGGCAGAAATAAGTGAAAATATAGCACTGTTTCTTAGGATTGTCAAATTGTTAGATATTTTTTTATATTTGCAGGGATTAGGCAAGTAAAATTCATTCTACAAGATATCAGAAGAGGATCTAAGTCCCAAGGTTAGAGAATGGATTTCGTGAGAAGGCGGCTTTCCCAGGGAGGGAGTAGTGATGATGAGGGAAAGTCGCTGTCATCAAGCTTCTCAGAGGGAACCTCAAGATTCTTCACCTCAATGGTGGCCAAAAAGAATGGCCTAATTAATAACTTATCCTCCAAACTGGAGAATGTGATGAAGACTTCCTCCAGTCCAGAGGATTCAGACTCCGAATCAGTTAGTCCGGCACAGACCCCAAGTTCTAATTATAGCTCCTACAGTAACGGAAGCAGAAATTTCAGGGGAGATGACTTCTCAACTCAGCCATATCGATCAAAGAAAAAGACAGAGAGGATTGGCATTCCGCGAAGACAGAGTTCGTCTGGGTATTCGGACAGCAGTGGGAATGATGAAGTGGCTGCTGGAAACATCAGTTTTGATGAGCCATTATACTCACCAACATCAAAATCAACATTTACATATGATTCTAAAGGAGAACATTTGCTGAAATCAAATTGTGTTGGCTTGAAGAAAGTAAATAATGAAGACCAAGCCAAAATGCAAAACATTTCACATAATACATATGAAAGTGAAAGTAAAAGTAAGATAAAGCCAGATCTACTGAAGACAGATAGTCGGGAGGATATACCTGAAGATAAGTCAAAAGAAGAAAAAGATAATGACAGTGAAGAAGATAGAAAATCAAAAGTCTTCCCTGTGGAGAAGAGTGAGAAAGAGACAAACATTGATGTTGTGAATGGGTACAAGAAAGCACCAAAAATAAATCGCCGATCCAGTACGGTGGATGAAATGTTGTTTGACGACTATGTACCACCGGAAGAACCAGATGAGTATGATGAAAATTTAGGTGAAAATGGAGATGTAAATTCAAATTCCAAGAGGAAAACTCTGATTCCTATGGGGGATTTGATGTCTTTTGATGATGATCCTGAAAAAGAAACTGTAAATCGTCAGAAAGTCCCCATTGGAGATGAAAAGTTCTCGTCCTTTACCAGTGTCTCAAGCATTGACAGTTCTGAGTACAGTGTGGGTAATAATCAGAATGGTAATGAGTCAACTTCTGAGTCTGAGTTTGGAGGCTTCCCAGTCAAACGATCATACTCAATGGGATCCGAAAATTCTTGGAGTTCATCATACAGTATAGACAGCCAGCCAGATGAACGAACGCTGGAGTGCATGGAGTTTATGAAAGCCTTTGTGGATCAAATATTTGACCCAAGGTTTGTATCAGATTTAAATATTGCATGCTTTTAAGAAGTATCTCTGAACAGTTTTAAAACTACCAGTATTTTTAGCTCATCTGAGCTAAAGGTGAGCTTTTCTGATTAAAGTATCCATTGTCTCCATCTGTCTGTCCGTTTGTTTACTTTTTACTTTTTTGATTTCTTCTCCAGAACCATTAGGTTGATTTTGAATGTACTTGAGGCCATCATTAACAAATTTTTTTGTTTGATATACTCCCACCCAAATTTCTTAAGGTGGGTAGGTAGGTAGGTAGTTTTTTTTGGTGAATCATTTTTATTCTTACACATTGGTAAACATCATAAAAATTTATTGATATTTTTATTATACACTGGACAAGTAGACAGACTTAATATATATTGCAGTAAAAACTTTCAATCTAAGGGAATGATAAACCTAATTTAAAACAATTCATCCTATATAGACACACACACACACACACCCTCACACACACACACACACACACACACACACAAACAAAAAAAGAATTTAAAGTTCTGAAAAAAAAAATGTTAGGGTAGGAGTGATCTTAATGGGTCTGTCAGAGTACAGCAAACGATTCATTTTTGTATTGTTGGACCAACAAAGAGTATCTTTGGTTGAATGGAATTCAAATTTATTCAAATAAAGGACTTTTTTTTCTTTTAGGGGGTAGATAGTCAAGAAATGACAAAAATAGGAAATCAATAAAAATCAATAAGAAATCTCCTTAATAAGCACTGGAACAGAAAAGATGTGAAAGTTTCCTGATATATAGATTTAAATTTGTTCAAATTTTGGCTCCTTGGAGAAGTTGGGGCCACAATGGATATTCATTTTTACATGGGAATATATAGGGGGGGAAAATCTTGATTGGTTAGAAAAATCTTGTAAAGCAAAATATCATTTGAAGAACAGCAGGGTCTAGGTGACTCAGGTGAGGGTTGTGGCTCTTGGGCCTCTTGTTTTTATCTGCTCCTGTGTGTACATGTAGCATGCTTTGATGGCTGTTTTATTACATTCATCTAACCTTGTATGAATCAAATTAGGAACTGTGCCACACTTTATTTTGAGGTGATGATCTAGTCTTCATTAAATATTTACGTACACAGTCAATTTACCACTATATACACCAATAATGAACATTATCAGATTAATATTTATGTTTTATTTTGAAGATTTCTAGTTTTTATGTCTTTGTTAGCGAGGACCTATAAAATATATACATTTTCTGCACCACCAAGTAGTTAATCTCAATATAAAATGTAGCAAAAATGCTGTTATAAGAACACACATGTCATCTGCAATATTATTTTTTTTTCCATATTTTGTAAAAGTTGTCAGTTTCTGACAATTTCAGGCAATTTCTTGAACTGTCAATATGTTGACATTTTTCCATCTTTAGGTATGAAGAAGCAACTCTGGACATAATTAGATTTTTAACTGATTTATTTCCCATAAATTATTTTTAATCAAGGAATGAATTTAATAGCTACCCAATTTGTACAGTATAAACTGGGTTGGGGCAGTGGACGCTTTATAAACCACAAAGCTGTCTATAAAAAAGCTTAAACTGTTCCAACCCAGTTTATACCATATAAATAGGGTAGCTATTAATTTCATTCCTTATAATTAAATTTTCATTCATTTAGTGTAAGAAAATAGGATGATTGCTCTTATAAAATGACTTCAAATTGTACCAAACTTTAATGTAAAGTCAGGCGCATCAATACGTTTTTGACGCAAGTTATTGTGACGTAGGCAACCCATTTTATACGATATGAAGTAAATTTTTTATCCAATCAAATACTGGGTTATAACCAGAATTAAATTATCTAATTATAAAACAATGCACTGATTAAATTTAATTTTGGCAAATTTTAGTGAACATTTTTTCAAGTTTACAGTTAACTAAATATGGCATGGTTTGTCTCACCCCAACAGGTTAGAGACATATTGAGTTCTCTTTAGCTGCATGTTCTTGTCTGTGTGTTTGTTCACTTGCCTGTTTTTATGCAAGTCTGTCACAAATCATTTCCAGGTTATAACTCTTGTTCATGTTGATCAGAATTAATTGAAACCTTAATATGTTATAGCTAGTGATTTCAAAGCAAGTTACCATCTTTATTAAAGGATTTGCTCAAAGATAAAGGGATATGAGATGTGTCAGGGCCATAATAGTTTTTTAACCTTTCAGCATGTTGCCCTTGACCTTAGGGTGTAATTTTGACAGAAGGTATTGTCTAAATGGTCAAGGTTACTAGGCAATGGGATGTTGAAATCACGGAATATAACTTTGCCAATTGTGCTTGAAATAAATGCAAACATGAGTATGAAGTTACCCACAGTTTAGAGGCATGTCAGGACATTGAGTTTTTGTAATATTGCAAAGGTGGAATGTTATATTGCAAAGGTAGAATGTCATATTGCAAAGGTGGAATGTCATATTGCGATGGTGGAATGTTATATTGCAAAGGTGGAAGATGTTGATCAATGAAATCCTGAAAATGTGCTTTGACTATAACTTTATAACTCTTGGGATGTTCTTGCTTAAAGGTTTATCATCTTAAATTTACTCAATGTAACATCTCAAAAGTCAGTGTCACTCGGCATTAAGAACCTGTTTATTGGGAAATAATTTTCAAGTTATTCATTTCTTGTCTTTGATGTTCCCATGGCTACTAAAACGACAAAAAAAAAAATGTTGAAATGCTTCTCATCCTATAGCTTTATTTGATTGCAATAAGCTAAGTACAAGTTAAAAAAACATCAGGATACATTAATTCTGCAAATGTAAAGCTAGAACAAATATTTTTCAAAGGTTTCTTTCCTTTCTCAAAGGTGGATCTTACATTGAAAATAATACTTGCTTTTGTGAGGGCAATGAATTTTACTGAATTAAGGGGTTCAGCTAATATTATGAATCACTGTTATATAGTGGAAAATCAGTAGAGATATAATGATAGAGTTGAAATATTTTTATAAATTATTTAATCTCAGTTTTATTTTAACCGGTAATTAATAGAGTTTTAATCCTTTTGACCCAATATTTGATGAATCACAAGGACTGGAAGACATTTAGGCCCAAATGATTAATCTTCATCTCTTAAAAGAATGCCAAATCAATGATGGCACATGAAAAATGGGAAATCATGTTTTTGTATTTTTTATATGGACGTAGTTACCATATATGTGAATCAATATCTTTATTCTTTTAGGCCTATAGGGAAATTTTATTGGGAAAAATGTTTGTTTAAGTAATGTCATAAAATATATTTAAAGACATTGGGGAATATGTGGTATTTTTCTTCTTAGAATCTTTATGAAATATTTGACTCTCTGCCATAAAGCATTGTCACAATCTTCAGATTGTTGAGGTACTGGGGCCAGTTTTACAAAAGAACTTACGACTAAGACCAAAATTTTATTCTGCTTATAACTTCCTAATTAACATTAAATTGAAGATGGTTTTATTCTTTTTAAAAGGAATGTAGAAAGATATTTTTACTCTAAAATTTTTAAACAGAATCATTAATTTTGCAAAATTTTACAATCAGCTAAAGTTTTTGATCTTATAGTCATAAGTTTTTTTGTAAAATGGGCCCATGGTATTCTACTGTATTTAAAGTGTATCTGATCAGAGTAACAGTAAACTACCACATGAACATAGCAGACTGATCAGAAATTCTCCATACAAATACTAGTAAATGTCTGAAATCATTTAGAATTAACCTTCAGCAATGTTTGCATTAAATATTAGAACTCTGATTATTAAATAAATACATTTATGTTTTTTTTTTTTTAGCAAGGAAATTTCTCAAATGGACAAGGCAAAATTTGGAGAGTTTTGTCAGGTAATTTTTTTTGTTTATATTTATACTTATTTTAATGCTTGGTAATAATAAAAGTGCTTTTTTTTCTTTTGTAGACCTTTACACAGTCAATTGATTATTAAGATATAAATTATAGTAGATAATGAATTGAAAAGGTTGAGACACTCTGAAATTAAAATGACAAGCTATCAGTTTTTATAGTTTTGTTCGATACAACCTTGGTTTATCATATTTATCATATCTGTAGTCAAAACAGATACTCATACGATAATTAAATGTACAACGTAAGAATCAACATTAAGGCCAGAACTGTCACACCAAATGCAATGCTAAATAGGCACAGAGATAACTGCCCTCTCTAAAAGGCATCTTCTTAATGCTGTTTTTTTGTATTTTTCTCTATGATCTGCACTATATATGTCATGGAGGCAGATTTACCCTTTATTATTTTCTGTAGTGGTGTCATTATGTAAATGATGTGCCAGGATTTAGGAGTGTCTGACATGGAAATAAACACCTGGCCTCATTAGAACTTTATTTAGAGAGATACGCATCCCTGTCATTATAATGGAGTGAACTGACTAGCCTTCTTCTGCGGTTGAGATAGTCCATTAGTCACGACAACTTCTTGTTGTATTTCAGGAGGTGGCTGGGAGACAGTGGTTTGCACGATATGTCAATGGACAGGTTGGTACCACAGAAAATTGCATTCAGAAACATTGGTACAATCTCATTTGCGTGTTTATTTTATACATAGAATTTTATGAATCCATGGCATTGAAAGAATGATTGATTCAACATGCATATCTAATTGTCATTAACAACTTTCTTGTATTTTATATTATGTAATTTGAAAAATAATCAAGCTGCTGCTTTTTATGTTGTTGTGTTCCAAAATTGTTTTGGTAACAATGAATATTTAATTTTATATTCTCATCAAAAAATAAAATACAGAAAGGAGAAGTTTTTATTTTTATTCTGCAACCACTGCTTGCATTGACTGAATAAAGGTAACATAATAAACCAAAGCTATATTCGTCAATGCCCTAAGAAAGCCTTGTGTATTCTGACGTCTTTAAAAGAATTGTTACATCATTGACGCAGTTTCAGCTGCAGAGATGTGCCTAAATTTGTTAAAAATAGCTTGTTTTGGTGGTCAGATGTGAATAAAACTATGTTGCAGGAGAAAGAAAATACATGTTAACTTCTTGAAATATGCCATGTAACTACCATACTTTTCAAATTTTGTATTATAAGTACTTTTTTCTAGATAGAGTAAGTTGTTCCCACAGAAGGAGGTACTGTAAACCAACTATCATTCACGTCATCTTTTATTCGCAAATCATCAGTTTGAAATCCATCTGCGACTGTTTATTTCCGTGAATGGGAAAACATGATGCATAATTGCACAATAAAATAATAGGTTTGTGGCAAAAAATATTTGTGAGCAGAAGAAGGTCGCGTAACTCGCTTATATTTCTTGCACGTTAAAAAATAAAAGTTGGTTTACAGTAGTTGCAGATAAGTTACATAATAATCTTTGTGATAGTCATGCATCATTCCTATGCTTTCTAAGTATGCATTCATCAAAATATTTCAAATTCAGAAAAATGATTAGTTAATTTTTGAAGTCTACACAATGTTTTCTATCGTAAAACTTGGTTAAAATGAACTTCTTTGGAAAGAAAATGTTGCATCGATCTGGATAAGTTGAATTAAATGTACTGTATATTTAATAGGATTTCTTATGTTTTTGGAGGACACACAATCACTTTATTGTAATCAGATTTCATAGTGAGGATGGTTTTTGTAGTGTTTGGCTATGTAAGACAAGTATGTTTCGTTTGATGTAAAACAGTGGACTCTGATTATTCTTACAGAGGGTACATAACAAGCGAGTTACAGAGCAGATATTTTTCCAGTTGGTACAGTATTTTGCAGTAGTGCTGTTTGAATGTGGAGAGGCTGAAGATTTTACCCCGGCCAAGTCACTGATGAACATGTGCTTCACTTTTTACTATGAAGGTAAGTCATTGAATAGTGGGTGCCTCTCTCACAGCTACAAAATTGATCAGGCTGTCCCTTTTAGCTTGTTTGAGTTGAAGGTTCAAATGAGCTTTTCTGATAAAAGTCTGTCCATCTGACATCTGATATCTTTTAACTTCATATTTTTGACATCTCTAAAAGCATGTGGCCAACCTCTAAATCCAGGTGGCCAATTTCAACCAAACTTTAGACAAAGCAGCCTTAGCTGAAGGGGCTCAAATTTGTGTAAAAGGAGATTCATTTTCCCATCATTTAATTCTCCTCCCCAGTACCTCCCCACCTCCCCCCCCCCTTCAAAAAAAAAGAGTCTGGAAACTAACACATTAATGGAAGGCTTCCTTAAATCACTCACCATGATAAAGATGAAGTGTATTTTTGCTTCTATAATGAACAGCAACTCCCTACTGCCTATATAGTTCACTGGCATCTTCAGCCTCGAAAGTATATTGATGTTATGTTTGAGATTATGTTATCATATTGGTGTTATAAAATCACTTCATATTTTGCTAGAAAGTTCTAGATCATATCTTTGCTGTCAATCAGGATCAACTTGAAAGAAAATGTAAATTTCCTTGGCTCTACAAATGATGCATATAATTTTTTTTTTTTTAATTCATTTTTGATAGTACTACTTGTAATTTACTTTAATTTTGCAAGCTTTTGGAAAATGAAAAATCAATTTAAATGTTGATGAGTTAGTCCATTAAATCATTTGAAGGAACATCTAATTACTCTGGTTTAATCTCCTTTCTATGCCTTTTTTTTATTTTGAACTCATAATGTTGTAATAAGTCTTGACCTAGAAACAATGTCATCATCAGGGTCAACTTTATCTAGGGACCATCTTTTCTTAATAAGCAGTAATTAATCTATATGAACGGGATTAGGTAACTGCTAGTTTTTAATGACATTTACTTTTGTTGACAGGTTGCCATGGTAAGAACTTCCTGTACAGTTACCTTAGAGATCAACCTATCTGGCAGTCATTGAGATTCTGGAATGCTGCATTCTTTGATGCAGTACAACTGGAGAGATCCAAGAGACCTGTCTGTACTAGGTATGGTTAATGTCCTCCATCAACACAAATCATTCATCTTTCTCTCTGTTAACAGTCATACTACTTCATCTGTGATAACTGTTGTATAGATTTACTTTTTCTCCTGTAATAAAGATTTAGACCCGGATTGCCCTCTCATAAACCTTTTATACTAAAATTTAAAAAAAAATAACTAAATTGGTTTTTGTGTAATGCATTTCTAAAGGTCTTGAAAAGGTGAAAGCAGTTTAAAAAGCAAAGAAACTTCACATCTAATTCTATACTACAGATATAGATTCTAAAAAAAAAAATTCTGAATAAAACCTGGGTGATATGTACATTTGTGTTATACAATTTCAAATTCCTGTAAATTCTTCATTATTGTGTTAAGAGATAATTTTGTAGTCGTAATAGTAAACTTCTCCCCAGTTTGTTACTTTATTGGTCTCCACAGTAAAAGCTGCAGATCTTTGTCTTTGGCTGGTGTGATATTTTACACCCAGCTAGTCTGGGAGAAATCAAAGCTACTTAGCCGTGTTTGTTTTTGTATCATTGCACCATAGATAGAAAACAATATGGAATATTATACACTTATCTAAATGCAGACTCAATAATTTATTTTTGTCCAATTTTAGTAAAACAGTGTATGTAAATTTTTCTTTGTTTTTATTTTCTTATTTGTTTAATAAAAGAAAGTATAAAGGATAAACCCAAATTATTGCTACAATTCTTTTAAAAAGATGTGTGTCCAGTGTTGAAAAGTAGCCTCCATTCCATATATAATGAAACATAATCTGTACTAAATTACAGAGGGATTCATTTTAAATTGGAAGACTTTTTTTTAAAAATTCCAATGTACATCAAGATTGAAAAGTGCATGATACATATATATTATTATAACAGTAACTTGATCCGAAGAGCCGTATCACGTCAAGTTGACAGGCGCGGATCATCAGATCAAACGAAACGCGAAGCGTCGAGTTTGATCTGATGATCCGCGCCTGTCAACGAGACGTGATACGGCTCTTCGGATCAAGTTACTGTTATAATGATAAATTTATTATATACCCCTTAACAACTAGCAAAATATGATAAAAGAAAAAAACTTTTTGGATCAATTACATAACTTTTATCCATTAAACAAACCATTTTGTCAAGGAACTTTTTGATGCGCGAGAATAAAAACGTCATTTATCTGTGTACTACGTCATCAGTTTCAAAGAGGGGTGATATGGATTCAGAAAACCACAGTGTGGTGATCCGGAACGTCGGATCACATCGTCTCATGATTGCGTAAATTCAACAGTAAAACTGAGTGACAAACAGTTGGATATATAATAAAAGCTTTTAAAATTGAAGTAATTTTCTCTCAGGAACATTCATAAAATGTTAAATCAGGTATCAGCAACACTGAATAGTACAAGGATAATTGTAAGTGTGATGATCCACATACAGTTGAACTTCAGTATCTCAAACACTGATATCTCGAATACCATGGATATGTCAAAGTGATTTGAAAGTCCCAACCCCTTAGTCTTTAAGTATTTTACCCTGGATATCTCGAATCCTCAGATATCTTGGAAGTTTTTTCTCGGTTCCATTGGGTTTGAGATAGCGAAGTTTGACTGTATAATAATAAACTCCACAAATAAATATTGAATAAGAATCACACATTTATGCACTTACCATGTCATTAACTTTGAAATGGAAAAACATTGAAAGGTTTTACTTTACACATAATAGTTAACGAGAGTTGGTTCTGATATCTGGGGGTAGAGAAATGGAGTCCTCGGAAATTTGGCACATAATTTGCTTTCACAAAATGATACAAATGATTTAACAAAATACAAAGTACATGTAACTGAAAACTAAAGTAATCTAAATTTTGTTTCACAAAAGTCCGAGGGGAAAAGAGGGGAAAATGGGAAGGAATATATTGTGAACTTGCTTACAATATCGAAAGTGTTGCTGGATTTTTTGTTTAATAACTTGCTTTTAGGATTGTTACATGATGACTATTAAATACAAAAGCCACAATATAATTAAGTTTCATAATGGGCATGATAAATTGAGAGAAGACGGCATTCCTGATAAACATGCAACATGCTTCTTCTGATAAATGATGTGGTAACATGTCTTCTGCTGTTATTTATTGCACATTAATAATTCTTTTCAACCTAAAAATATGATAGAAACAATCTTCTCAGCTTAATTATGACATTTTTATGTACTTATATCTTAACGATGTTTATAGAAGAAAACCATTTGATTAACAGGAATTGTCTTGCACTGGGTTTCAGCAGAAAGTTTGTCCTTTTTTTGGGGGGGGGGGGGGGGGGTTTCAGGAAAATCAGAAATAATTCATAACTTTTTAAGGTCACCTTAGTCACTGAGGTCACCTATTTCAATCTATAGATTTCCTTCCTTCATCAAGCACCATTCATCAGTAAGCTTCAAACTTGTTCAATTTTTTTCCCCTCTAAATGACTTCAAAACCAATTTCATCCAGTTTGGATGTGTAGCATCTTAATGGTTGAAATGAGATGATATTGTCCCAGCCCACCCAGGGATGGGACCAGAACATCAAAACTCATTGTATTATGAAGTAAAAAGATGTGGAATGAAGTAAATGATTTTTTTTTATTTTATTTTTTTTTTTGTTACTTAAGATTTCGGACTAGCTAAAATCATTTCGGACTGGCTTATTTTGTCTTCTTGCCAGTCTGACTGACTTTCTGAAAAAGTTTTCCACAACTCTGAATTTCTTTAGATAGTCCATGTATTATGACATCATGAATTGCATCATTTTTCTCAAATCCTGAAAAATTCTTTGTAAATGGCCAAAGATTTAAGCTGTTTTTCAATATATTGCTTAGACCCCAACCCCTGATCCAACATGCTCAATTATATAATGAAATAAAGTTGAACTTCGGTATCTCGAAAACTGATATCTTGAATATCATGGATATGTCGAAGTGACTTGGAAGTCCCAACCACTTATTCTTTAAGTATTTTACCCCTGATATACTGTATATAAATTGTGAAATTCATGTTCCCTGCTATATGATTTCTGTTTTAGGCACCAGTGAGGGTTGTTCATATCTTGATAATTCCTGATATCTTTGAAATTCTTTTTCTTTAAACACAGTCATCAAGCAGGCAAACTGTTTATCTGATTTCAATTGATAATAACAATAAAATTCATTTCTACTGTGTACATGGAAATTTTTGCTCTTGTTTTATTTTAACCCCTTTCATGTAGTGTGCAAGTGGTCAAATTTAAAATGAAGCTATCTTTAAGAAAAAAGCATTTATCTCTTTAACACAATTTAGACTGGGTGAATTTAAAATGGGGCTTTATTGATTGAAACTGTGAAAGGAATTAAATAACATAGGGTGAACATAACCCTGTATTGAGTATTTGATGAATGATTCAGGTCAGAGGGTGGGGCCAATTGGGTCATATATTGAAAATACATTATGTCTTTACTCTGGACTTCTAACAGACAAACTGTTTGCATAATTATAATGAGCAGTTAAAATTTTAATTAGTACCCCTCAATTCAAGCCTAAGGTTTGGACTGGCTATGTAATAGAAAATTTAACACTTTAAAATTTTCATTCCTGTAGATTTATTGAGCAAGCTGTATGGATGAAGACGGTAACGTAAGAACCATTTGCCAAACTGAGTCCCGAGGTCAAGGCCCTAATTTGGGGCTAAGTTGAAATATTTTTAAAATGTATTATTTCTTTAAAAACCTTGAGCATTTAAGAGACAAAATTCATGCCATATGATAATAAACAAAGATTTTTCTACCATATTGTAAATTTCTGGGGCTTAATTGGTCAAAGTAAGAAAAAGTGATTTACAGGTTACTGTTGGAGCCTTTTCAGTATATCCCATGCATTATATCGAGTTTTTATACAAAAATGGAAACATGCTCAAAATAGCCATACAGAGATAAAAATAACACTTAATTGAATCAATATCTATTGCCTAAGTATTAAATTGGGATATAGGTAATTATATCTGTAAGGAAACCACATTATATAATGCTGGTTCTATATTTGAATGTTTATTAATTCTAAAGGCACACGTTTTCATTTGGGTGATGTGACCATTAATTATGGTTGGTTTCATTGTGCGGCTGGTGTGACAAATGAATTGTCTGACAAAGGCTGGGTCTAACTGTCGTTTCTCACCATTTTGTTGATTTTTGTAGTGATGAAGGGGATGACCAACAGAAAGATGACAGACAGTTTCAAGAAAACATCACCTTTGGACAGCTAGGGTACTGCACATTAATTTAAAACAGTTGAAAAAAAGGCTGTTAAGAAATAATGTATTGGATGACAGTGAACAACAACCATTCCACTTTTTAGCCAAAGAATCTCACAGAGAATTAGTTTAAGATATGATATTTTCTTTATATAGAATATGATTTAATTTTTCTTTAAATTAATATTTGTTAAAAACCAAAAAAAAAAAAAAAAAAAAAAAGAAAAGAAAACCTAGCCAACCAAAAAAAATGCTTTTCTTACCTCCTTTTTTTTTACCCATTGCCCTTTCTCATATATATTCTATAGCATCTGTTCTTCAATCATGGTATGTTTGCATGTATCTTTATGTTGATTTTATTGAAGTTTTTAATTAGATTTGTATCAAGTACCTTTGTACTTTTAGGACTTTCACATGCAATATGAGGGCATTTGGTCTGTCCAAGGAGTTGTGTATAGAATTTCTGAGGAAACAATCGATAATTGCCAACCTGAAAAGAGGTAAGTTCAAAGGTTAATCTTTTATATTATAGAAGTGAAAACAAAGTGTTATGATAAAAACTCTATCAAGTTCTTCAAGTTAGATGTCTGTTTCTTGGCAATATTTTGGTTTCTCATTTTGTATATACATGTATTATCTTAGCTCACTTAATTGAATCAAAGGTCATGTGAGATTTTAATCAAGGATTGTTGGTTGTTGTCTTGCTTTCTTAAATGTCTGAACATCTGGTTGGTATCACTTAACTCTTTAGCAGAGCATATGACATATATCATATCTTCAAATAGGCCTAAAAAGGGTTGCTACTTTTGAGGGAGTGGAAATTGGATTATTTCTAATTGGCATAGCTACCCGGTACTTTTTGCTCATCATGACAGAGTCATAGAGAAATGATCTCAGCAATTTGTGTCACAGGTTAAGCATTTGGAGCAAGTCCATTAATTCTTCTGTCTCTAAAGGTTATACCTGGACCAAACTTGCATGGGTACATGTAACATGTATGAATGCTTACCATCAGTTTGTTTGGATCCTGTGTTTGGTGTATATGGAGCAGTTTTACACTTGTGGCATCATTGCACTGTCATATAAAATCTAAATTATTCAAGTGTTTAGTGTGAGGCATCTTCGCTGGCCAAGGGTTTCTGATCTGCTACTCTCCTCACAAACCCTTGGCCTATGGTGCTATCAAAAGTCAGGGTTTTTTTTTTTCAAGTTGTAATTGGAGTCAATTAATATTGTTCGACTAATCAGCAAATGCTTTTGTTAATGACAATATCTCTGCTTGGGAGATATCTTGACTCTTTAGTCCCGGGAATGAAAAATACAAACAACAATCCATAAGATAATGTACCATTCTATAAATAGCTATGGTGTCATCCAACGTTAAGCAGATGTGCACATAATGTGATCAGGTCTGGAATCTATATTACAGATACAGATTTGCAACTAATAAACATTGCTTGACACTTGCTTGAATGTTAATTTTTCTGTAAATACTTTTATTTTTAAAAGTGCTTTTTATTTCTGTCGATGACACAGTCTGTGTGTATGTGGTGTGATTTAAGATCACAACATAAACAATCCGGACTTTTGATATCTCCATAGGCCAAGGGTCTATGAGGAGAGTTGCAGATCAGAAACCCTTGGCTAGTATGAAGTTTTTTTTCTTTCAAACAGCAGTTTAGTGCAAACATGGTTACAGAGAATCAATTTATTGCAATTATAATTACAATACAACATACATAGAACTAAAGTACCTGGTACCTGTGAGGAAACTCACAAAATGATACCCCCAACTATAAATTTGTTTTTAAAAAAATGTTGCTTATCACCTGAAAGTGTGCTGTGATCTCACTAGAAAGAAGTGTAAGTTCTAGGTTACTTAGAGAAAAAGTGTATAATTTGTGCATGGTCCATAACTTTGTAAGAGAGAAACATTGGATGCAACATTTTTCACAATTTTACAGTTGGGGGTATCATTTTGTGAGTTCCCTTACAGTACCTCTAGTTCTATTTGTTTGAATTTGTAAAATTACACTAAGTACTTTAATCTATCTATCTATCTATCTATCTATCTATCTATCTATCATGTTTACTGTATATAATAGCTATCACAATACACTTACATGCCCTTTTCTCAATATAAAGTCTACATTTACTCCACATTAATTTTCACTACTTTTATCAAATGCACTGATTTATTATCCTAATTCTTGTCTATGAATTTGTCTTATTGGAATTCAAATTTTAGAATATGTTGCAAATCCTTCATGTGCTCATTCTAGAATACAGTAAAACACCATTACAGTGAACATGCTTATAATGAATTCATGCTTATTGTGCATTTTTCCCTTTAGTTTTAAAATATATACATGCATACATGTGATAAGTCAAAGACCACAAAACTGTACAGGAGCCATAAAAAAAACTGGAATTTGGGTGAAAAAACTGTACACTGCCTATCAAAAAACGGTACAAAAAAATGGTATAAAATATCGCTTAAATTCTTCTGAAATTCCATCGTAATCATTGTAATAAACATCGTATATTTTATACCTACGAAGATCTGGGTCAGATTCACGTATATTAAGACTAAAGTCATGTATATCAACTTTAGAAGTTGGCTTAATTTTTTTCAATCAAGTTGCGTATACGAAACATTAACAGTAATTAAGTACCCCTTAAAAAATAAAGCTACCTAAAGGGGTATTTGATACGGATTTATAGCAAGATAATTATCCCAATTGGCAGTTCACACCTTCGCACGCGATGGTTTGTGTACACTACACAATTATCATCAGGTCAAGTGTCAAACATAGGTGACGTTTTCCAGTGTCTCGCGAGCGAGAATGAGAGGAAAATGGCGGCATTTAGCGAGAAATTCAAAATACTGTACAAATTTTCATATTCCCTGAATTTTGGTGTCCCGCCGGTACATGATGAATGGGCTCAAAAAACTGTACATTTTGCGTAAAGCCTGTACATATCACATGTATGATACATGTATTTAGAACTTATCAGAAGAACCATATTATGTTTATAACAAAACAAAATTGTTTGTGCATGGCATTCTCTTTAGGGTGTTTTTCTGTATACCGCCAAAATGTGATTTATAAAAATGCTGATAGCACTAATTCATGATTGTGACAAATACCTGTAGTCACTGGCCAATGTTTGTACTCAGTGTTGAATATTATAAAATGAATACATATACTCTACTTTGTAATTAAATATTCATGCACTGTATGTTTGATTTTGTAGAACAAGTCCAAATGTTAAAAGACAACGTAGATAAATGGCGTGAAGCCTAGCCTATGAACCTACATTCCAAGAAAGATAACTCTACATGTTGCAGAGAAACATAACTCAATATGCATTGTATAAGCTTTATTTGATTTTAAGTAAAAACCCTCCTCAATGTAAACTGCAAGTAAAGACTCAAAGATGATGATTTCTGCAGTTCAAAATTTTGATTTCTCAAAGTGAGCAAGTAGTAAGTTTTTTATTCACAGTTTCTGCAATTCCATTGGGTTTGCAAAACTAAAGATACAGAATTGCAAATCTTCAAAAATTGGAAATGGCAGAAATTACCATTAATACAGTACATGTATATTGTGGTCCATGATCATTGTTAAAGTGTACAGGAATACTTTTTTATTTCTTAGTGGTTTCATCTCCTCTAATTGTGATTGGACTGAAGAAATTAAATGATATGTTAATCTTTACATACTGTAATAAACATGGTGCAATATTGTTGAAATGTTATAAATTTTTGTGCATTTTACAAATAGTGTTAAGAATTATTATTTATTTACAACAAAATGTTATAAATTTTTGTGCATTTTACAAATAGTGTTAAGAATTATTATTTATTTACAACATTGTTATTCATAGCATTTATAGTTTATTTATAATTCAGAGTTCTAGAATATGTACAATTTTCTTTTTACACATTTTTTTGAAGACATTCCTTTATTTTCATGAAATCCACATATAGTGTTCCAAGAGGTGTAATATATATGATTTTGTTTCCTTGTTGGTTTGTAGAGATGTATATCTTTTTAAATTCTCTTGACATATTTCATGTGTTTTACATATTTATTGTGTCTATCTGGACTTTTTTTTTCAAGGTGCATGGCAACATTTCCAAATGTATACATATATCAGCTTGTTTTTATTGAGACAGAATTGGCCTGGATGTTAATGGCACTAGTTATGGCTGTGTATCAGTTGATTGGTTGTATATACAGATATATGTAGATCTGTAACATTGTAGTCTTTCAGTACTCATGTCGAAAAAAGTAATAGCAGTTGTTATTGGAAATGTTCAGCTCCTGTCAGCCATTTCCATTCTATAATTTTTTTGTTAGCTCACCTGAGCTGAAGGCTCAAGTGAGCTTTTCTGATCACATTTTGTCCGTTGTCCGTCTGTCTGTCTGTCCGTCCGTCTGTAAACTTTTCACATTTTTGACTTCTTCTCCAGAACCACTGGGCCAATTTCAACCAAACTTGCCACAAAGCATCCTTGGGTAAAGGGGATTCAAGTTTGTTCAAGTGAAGGGCCACACCCTCTTTCAAGGGGAGATAATTAAGAATTAGTGAAAATTTGGTGGTATCTTTTAAAAATCTTCTTCTCAAGAACCACTGGGCTGTAAAAGTTGAAACTTATATGAGACCTTCATTACATAGTGTAGATTCAAGTTTGTTCAAATCATGACCCCCGGGGGTAGGGTGGGGCCACAATGGGGGATCAAAGTTTTACATAGGAATATATAGGAGTAAATCTTTAAAAATCTTCTCTTCAAGAACAACTAAGCCACGATTAGTCATATTGATATGGAATCATGCTCAGGTAGTGTAGATTCAAATTTGTTCAAATCATGACCCCCAGGGGTAGGGTGGGGCCACAATGGGGAATCAAAGTTTTACATAGGAATATATAGAAAAAAATCTTTAAAAATCTTCTTCTCAAGAACAACAAAGCCACAATTAATCATATTGATATGGAATCATCCTCAGGTAGTGCAGATTCAAGTTTGTTCAGATCATGACCCCCAGGGGTAGGGTGGGGCCACAATGGGAATCAAAGTTTTACATAGAAATATATAGAAAAAAATCTTTAAAAATCTTCTTCTAAAGAACAACAAAGCCACAATTAGTCATATTGATATGGAATCATCCTCAGGTAGTGTAGATTCAAGTTTGTCAAATCATGACCCCCAGGGGTAGGGTGGGGCCACAATGGGGAATCAAAGTTTTACATAGGAATATATAGAAAAAAATCTTTAAAAATCTTCTTCTAAAGAACAACAAAGCCACAATTAGTCATATTGATATGGAATCATCCTCAGGTAGTGTAGATTCAAGTTTGTCAAATCATGACCCCCAGGGGTAGGGTGGGGCCACAATGGGGAATCAAAGTTTTACATAGAAATATATAGGGAAAAAAAACTTGAAAAATCTTCTTCTCAGGAACAGCAAAGCCTTGTTTTGTCATATTGATATGGAATCATCCTCAGGTAGTGTAGATTCAAGTTTTTTTTAAATCATGACCCCCGGGGGTAGGGTGGGGCCACAATGGGGGATCAATGTTTTACATAGGAATATATAGGAATAAATCTTTAAAAATCTTCTCCTCAAGAACAACTATGCCACGATTAGTCATATTGATATGGAATCATCCTCAGGTAGTGTAGATTCAAGTTTGTTCAGATCATGACCCCCAGGGGTAGGGCGGGGCCACAATGGGGAATCAAAGTTTTACATAGAAATATGTAGGAAAAATCTTGAAATTGTTTTTCTCAAAAACAACAAAGCCACAATTAGTCATATTGATATGGAATCATCCTCAGGTAGTGTAGATTCAAGTTTGTACAAATCATGTCCCCTGGGGTAGGGTGGGGCCACAATGGGGGATCATAGTTTTACATAGGAATATATAGGGAAAAAAACTTGAAAAATCTTCTTCTCAGGAACAGCAAAGCCATGTTTTGTCATATTGATATGGAAGCATCTTCAGATAGTGTAGATTCAAGTTTGTTCAAATCATAACCCCCAGGGGTAGGGTGGGGCCACAATGTGGGATCAAATTTTTACATAGGGATATATAGGAAGAAATCTTTTCAACAACAGAAAAGCCATGTCTAGTCATGGTGATATTGAAGCATCCTCAGGTAGTGTAGATTCAAGTTTGTTCAAATGATATGGGGGGGGGGGGGTAGGGAGGGTCCAGGGTCCACAATGGGGGATCAAATTTTTAACAAGAGAATATATAGGAAAAAAAATCTTTAAAAATCTTCTGCTCAAGAACAGCAAAAGTTCAAAATCTAACCCCCTTTTAAACTTTTCAATACTGAAGTGATTTGTGCTTTTTCCTAGCCAGTGTGCTCAGGTGAGCGATGTGGCCCATGGGCCTCTTGTTTGTTTGATGATATATTGATGGTCGTGTATGTGTTGCTTCTATTGGAAAATGACTTATGGATTGATTTTTATGTTTGTCTATCTCTCAACCTGTGGCAAATTAAATCTATCATTACTTACTGAACACAATATAATCAAATATTGTTTTAAGTAACTGAATACTTACTGAAATCAGACAATTACAGTAAAACACGCTTATAACAAAGTGCCAGGGAAGGACGATTTTGCCTCATTATAAACGTAATTCGTGAATCATTATATCCGTTAAGTTTACAATATATTTTAAAGACATGAGGAATGAAAATCACTTCATTATAAGCATCAATTCATTATAAGCATGTTTGTTATAAGCGTGTTTTACTGTATAATGATATATATATGAACTTATAATGTTAGACTAGACTCTATGTTGAAGCTAGATAAAGCTATAATTAGCAGTCTAGAGGCTTGTTTACTGCCTCGCCTGAGTGAAATCTGTGATAGTCCTAAATGTTGTGATCTTGTCTGTGTAGAAACCAATAGGATCAATACTCCGTGTTCAGACAAAATGCAATAAATCTTGAAAACAGCAAAATGAATGTTTATAGAACTGAGTCTTCATATGATGCTTTCCTGAACTAGAACTGTCCATACTTGACTTACTAGTATATTCCCTGTTGGGCACATTCAAAGGAGAGAGAAGTTTGAAATAGCACACAAATATATGGAATTGGCCTATTTGAATATCATTTCTAAAATAATATTTCAGCTGTGATCTGGAAACTTATGGCTCATCAAGAATTTCTTACTTTGAAGTAGTATGAGAAAGACCCCCTTCTTCTTTCTAGCTCTGATAACATTTTTTCTGGTGTCTGTCAGTCTTTTCACTGTTTCTCATGAACTTTTCACATTTTTAACTTCATCTGAGAAACCACTGGGCCAACTTCAACCAAACTTCCCACAAAGCTTTTGGGTGAAGGGGATTCAGGTTTGTTCAAATGAAGGGCCACAACCTTTTTCAAGGGGAGATAATTAAGAATGAGTTTTAATTTAATGTTATTTTTGAAAATCTTCTCAAGAACCACTGGACCAGAAAAGATGAAACTTTTTAAATCTTCATTACTCGGTTAGATTCAAGTTTGTTATCAAATTATGACCCTTGGAATAGGTCGAGACCACAGTAGGAGATCTAAGTTCTTTTTTTAAATATGTAGGAAAAAATCTCAAGAAATAGAGAAGCAATTATTAGTCATATTGATACAATATATATTGCATACATTGAAATGAAAGGATGGTAGGGTGAGACCACAATAGGAGATCAAAGTTTAACATAGGAATATATAAGAAAACTAGAAACCTTGTTGCCATGGCAACAAGAATGTCTTCCGTCCCTTCTCTTTCTTCATAGATATTGATTCCTCACTAAACATCTTATTATGTTGTGCATTCCCTGTAACACCTTCATAAATAAAATATAATTAAACGTTTAATTTTGAAAATATTGCAAAACTGGAACAGAAAAAAAATACGAGACATCATTTAAAGGGGGGGGGGGGTCCATAAAGTCTTTGTGTGAATTTTTTTTTAAAGTTTCATATTCTCACACTTAACTTGTACAAAATCTAAAATTATGATAAGATTTTTTTTTTAATTTGTTTCATCCTACCTGATTTCATGCATTTGGTTACCCCTCCCCCCCCCCTTCCCTGAGTCAGCACCACACACGCATAACAAATTGATTGACAATTTACTGATGTATTACCTGAAAGGATATTTTTTCACATACTGTTTCGAGTATACAGATTTTTTGTGTTTTATTGTTTTAATACACTGTATATCATTAATTAACCATACCTTTATGCGCTAAGTCGCTTTGAGCTCTTAATTATGACGGATCTTCCTCTGAACTAAATGTCATTGAATTTTTTTCCATCTCATCTGAAATTGCTATTTGTTATTCAATCAAGATGAGAAAATAATAAATTCTACTTTCAAAATATTATTTGACAAATCTCCAATTTGTGATTCAATTGCATAGGTACCTAGCTACATTTACATTTACCTTGCTTTGTCATATCACAATTGCATATTCGTATGTTAATTAGTGCAAAATTCAACTGCAAACTCTTTATGAAGGAGTAAAAAGACACACTGCTATTGTGAAGTCAAACACAGTTACTCTGACGCTGAACGACATACCCCCAACCCCCCATCTTTAAAGATAGAATCTTACAATTGAGCCCAGACAACAGTGTGAAAAAAATCGGACATTCTGGGGATTGAATACGAGTCACCCGTGTGAAAATTCAACATGCTAACCATTACGCAATGAGAAAATAATAAATTCTACTTTCAAAATATAATTTGACAAATCTCCAATTTGTGATTCAATTGCATAGGTACCTAGCTACATTTACATTT